GATGGTCATTAGCATCTATTGGCCTTGTGTTACAATAGTGGTTGTTACTGGGATTGTGCACTGATAGTCACTCATGCAGGCTGCTAAACAGGGTATTGCAATCATGAAATGAGCTCTCTTCATCACAGAAGTGATCAAGTGTTTTATAAAATACTGTGAAAACACCTGCAGAAAACTGGTTTCTAGACCAAAGAAATACTTTTCTTCAGATTGATAGTGACATACGTTGTAACCTTAGCCTGTTCTTTTGGGCAAATGAAGTAAGGAAAATGTGACTGCCAAAAGGATGCTGGGAGGCATGTTAGTGCATGGGTTTCTAGACTGTTGCTGATTTTTTTAAACAGCTGGAATGTTTTTTTAGTCCATGTCTGGTTCAGATTCTGCACAAAAGAAAATGGCATGGTGTGTATTGTGCCAAGATTGAGGTAGAAACAAATTATTACCTAAAGCAGAAATAATTATTATCAACTATTGTTTGGCTTTAACCAAAATGCCTTAACTGGCAAGGCAAATTGTAATTCAGTCCTAAACATCTGCTCTTTTCTGAGCTGTTCACATCTAATAGCAGCCTTCATTGTACAGACTTAGAGAATTAATACGTTCATCCATCAGAACTAGATTTTGTACTGGAATACCATTGCTCGGCACCTTCACGGGCCTGTTGGCAAGTTCATTGACCTGCTCTATTTTTGTAGCATTCTTTTAGCCTTTCACTTCTTAAATCTGTTTTACAAACTTGACACTTGTTGAGAAACTTCTGCCAGTAATGTCAGTATCTATGAATAGCTTCCTGCTGGTAAAGAACAGATGAAGATGTTTCATTCCTGGTGTGTCTACAGACTGATAGGACTAATAATAAAATTTAAAAAAACAAAACAACTGCTTCTCCAGCAATGCTTTTGGTATTTAAAACTATTCTCTTTTTGTAGTAGGACAACTGAGTAATCCTTTTTGTTTCTAATAGTGATATCAAGAAGCAAGTTAAGAAACCCAGGCAGAACTCTGGCATCTTATAAATGCATTGTTGATACACTAACTTAATCAAAGTTCTTCAAGCCAAAGCTTTTTAATTAATGTACTCTATTTTGTTACTCAGCTTATTAATAAAAAATTGAATATTGACTTGGACAAGTCCCACACAGGATTCCACTTGGCAAATCTCATTTATTTGATACTGAACTTTTTATAGCTGCTCTTTGAGTGGGATTTTTTGCAACTTGTTTTTACACACAGTGGAGAGGCTTTTTCTTTCAGTTATTTAGATCATGCTATGGTTATTTGGACCTGTACTTACTTTTAAGGACAGATTTATTTCCTTTCTGTTCTGTTTCAGCTCAGGTGAAAGCAATGGCATTCAGTGCTTATAAAACCAACTAGAACTGTGCATGGAAAGGTATCTCACAGCTGACCTTGTGAAAAGTGTGAAATTAAAGTCATCGGATGCAGCTGTAAGCGCATCTTTTGAAATGCAAAAAAATACATAAAAATTGGAAACTCAGAGTTCAAAACATTCTTCAGACAGCCATTGGAGTCACTGGTTTGGATGTGAGGGCTGTGGAGAAGTTTGTGTTACCACCCACTGTGGGAGAGAAGGGAAGTATGTCAAGGCCTGATAGTAATATTGCAGTTTTCCCGCTTGGGCTCTTTC